GGTTAGCTGGTTCACCTGGTGGTTCAGGGGTTGGACAAATCGGCTAGTGGCCAACGTCAACACACGTCTGGGCATTGTGGATTTTTTTTTTTTTTAAACCTCTCGGAGATTTTATATGAGGATGACAATTCATGGGGTCATGGGGCCAGATTCGAAGTAAGAAAACAATACATGTCTGAATAACTGGGGGTCTGATTCTAACTCCCTGACCCGGCCCCCTTTGTTTGTGTGCATGGCCCGGGTGTGCTAATAGCCGGCATTGGTCGAGTATCCGAGTCAGTACCACGCTGAGCCCTATAAGTAGAAACAGTTTATGGACCATTTTTTTTTAAAGAGACCGGGGGGGGGGGGGTTAACACAAGAGACTATTGTGGTGTGTTGGCCGAGCAATCTTGCAATGTATGGTGGGAGGCTGTGTGCAATGTATGGTGGGAGGCTGTGTGCGATGTATGGTGCGAGGCTGTGTGCAATGTGTGGTGCGAGGCTGTGTGCGATGTGTGGTGCGAGGCTGTGTGCAATGTGTGGTGCGAGGCTGTGTGCGATGTATGGTGGGAGGCTGTGTGCAATGTGTGGTGGGAGGCTGTGTGCGATGTATGGTGCGAGGCTGTGTGCAATGTGTGGTGGGAGGCTGTGTGCGATTGTTCATTTATTTTATCCGAGATTAGATCAAGGGGTTTAACTCATGAATTAAGGGAGGATAGCTGTAGAAAGAGTTACGCTGAGATGGTTTAAAAAAAAAAAAAAAGACATCAGTTTAAGAGAGCGGGGGGTTTAGATGCTACATTTGTAGTACATAAAGACATTCATAGGTAGGGCCTATCTGGTAGAGTATTATGACAGAATACCGTAAACTGGCCACCAACGACATCAACACAAGCATTATGACAGAAGATTCTGTTAATTTAACTCAGCTCCAACAACTTTTATAGTACTTAATTAAACAACTTCATATCTATAAACTCAAATAATGGTAAACATTCAAATAACAGTAAGACAACTCGTAAAGAAGCTTGTTTTAAAGACAGGATTGCTATATTTACAAAGAAAAAGTCCGTTCTCTGCCCCACTCCCCTGACAGGAAAAACGGGTCTCAAATGGCCCGGTTTGAACGTTACAAACTTTATTTGACCAGTTTTTTTAGCAACAAATGTCAATAGACATGTCAACGGCAAAGCCAAAATTATTCAGCAAAGTACACTCTTTTTTTTTTTTACACATTTTTTGGGGGGGGGGGGGGGGGGTTGGGGGTCAAACAATTATAACTATCACCACATTGTATGGTCACAATTAGCAAGGCCCC